AGCGAACCAACTTTAGCAGAAATAAAAGCAGACGTGGATTTCCTCGCCTCCGGCAAGGCACTTGGCAAGGATAACATCCATGCTGAACTGCTGTAAAGAGATAATCACCACCGACCTGTCTTTTGTCTTTGCTGGAGGGAAGGTGGAGTACCACAGGACATGAAGGATGCAAACGTTGTCACATTGTATAAGAACAAAGGAGATGGGGCAACTGCACTAACTAATGTGGCATCTCTCTTCTCAGCATTGTAGGGAAAGCTGCTTGCCCGTGTTGTGCTGAAGAGACTCCAAGGTGCTTCCAGACAGAGTCTATCCAGAATCACAGTGTAAATTTTGAGCTAATAGATCCACCACTGACATGGCATTCTCCCTCAGACAGTTGCAGGAGAAATGTAGGGAACAACCACAGCCACTCTTTGTGGCCTTCATAGATCTCACAAAGGCCTTTGATTTGATTAGCAGGGATGGACTTTTTAAAATACTTGCCATGTTTGGATGTCCACCTCCACTCCTTAACATCATCAGGTCCTTTCATGAGGAAATGAAGGGCACTGTAGTTTTTGATGGCTTAACATCAGATCCCTTTGACATCCGAAGTGGAGTGAACAGGGCTGTGCCCTCGCAGAGACCCTTTTTGGGATCTTTTTTGCTGTCATGCTGAAGCACGCCTTTGGAACTGCAACAGAAGGTGCCTATCTCCAGACTAGATCAGAAGGAAAGCTCTTTAATCTCTCTAGATTGAGAGCGAAGATCAAAGTCCAGCTGAAATGCATGCAGGACTTCCTGTTCGCCGATGATGCAGCCATTGTTGCCCATTCTGCTGAAGAGTTCCAACAACTCATGAATCATTTTAGCAAGGCTTGCCAAGACTTTGGATTAACAATCAGCCTGAAGAAAATATAAGTCATGGGCCAGGGTGTGGACTAACTTCCCTCTATTACCATCTTGTCTCAACGATCTCTGATTCTGTCTCCCTAGATGTTGAGCTGGATAAACGCATTGGCAAAGCAGCTAACATGCTCTCTAGACTCACAAACAGAGAATAAGAAGCTGAAGGCATATACCAAGCTCCAGGTCGACAGAACCTATGTCCTGAGCACAGTCCTGTACTGCAGTGAGTCCTGGACCTTTTCTGCATGGCAGTAGAGGATGCTGAACACGTCCCACGTGCGTTGTCTCCGACGCATTTTTGGTATCACCTGGCAGGACAAAGTTTCAAATAGAGTAGTCCTAGAACAAGGTTGAATTTTTAGCATGTATACATTACTGAAACAGTGATGTCTGTGTTGGCTTGGGCATGTCATGAGAATGGCTGATGGTCGGATTCCAAAAGATCTCTTGTATGGGGAATTAGTGCAGGGAAATCGCCTCAGAGGGAGACCTGCAAGCGGGATCTGAAGGCCTTAGGAATGGACCTCAACAGATGGGAAACCCCGACATCTGAGCATTCAGCCTGGAGGCAGGTGGTGCATCATGGCCTCTGCCAATTTGAAGAGATCCTTGTCCAGCTGGCCGAGGCAAAGAGGCAGTCACGAAAGCAGCAAAATTAGGGAACTGGACAGCGTACAGATTGTATTTGTCTTCAGCGTGTGATTGTCACTCTCGAATTGATTTCTCAGCCACACTAGACGTTGGTCCAAGTCCTCCATACAGAGCACGTTACCATAGTCTCTTGAGACTGAAGGATGCCTAATCTAATACTTTCCATGTTTCAGGTCTCTACTAGAAACTTGCATGCTTTAATAAGATCAGATTCCAATTGAATTCAAACCATGATCAAACTAATAACTTATCTTTTTATCTAAAAGACATGACAAAGATTTGTAAAAGGTTTTAATTACAGTGGTGCCTCGACTTACAACCATTTCAAGTTACAACCAGTTCTGACCGCACATTTGCTTCTACTTGTGACTGGAGCTTCCACTTACGAAAAAAAAAGCAGGGGAAAAAGGCGAGAAAATCAAATTGCTAATTGTAGGTGGCGACGAGGCTGCTTCTTTGTAACTATTTCGCCCCATCAATTAGAGAGTGTGTGATCGGAGGAGGCTGCCTGGTAAGGTAAGGTGCTGTTTTCTGCTTTTTAAAAACTTCTGGGTGTTTTTGCAGCATGATTTTGGGCTGGAGTGGGTTATGTTTCTGTGCTGTGATGGGGAGTTTGTTTTCTGGAGACCCCCCCATTTCCAATGGGTCTTGGGGGGATTGGTTGCTTTTTGGAGTTTTCCCCCCACATTTTCAATGGGTCTTGGGGGTTTGTTTGTTTGTTGGTGCTTTGCTTTTTCTCCATTTCCGATCTGTCTTTTATGCTTCACTTGCTTTTTGCTTTGCTCTTTACCCATTTCTGATATGTCTTGCATGCTTCGCTTGCTTTTTTGCATTGCTCTTTCCCCATTTCCGATCTGTCTTGCATGGTCCCCTTGCTTTGCTTTACTTCTTTCCCCATTTCCGATATGTCTTGCATGCTCCCCTTGCTTTCTGCTTTTCTTTTTCCCCATTTCCAATGTGTCCTGCATATTTCACTTGCTTTCTGCTTTGCTTTTCCCCCCATTTCCGATGTGGCTTGCACGCTTGGCTTGCTTTTCTCCCCCTCCCCTTTGGCCAGAACTGATTAATCCCATTTCCAATCAGTCTTGCAGAGGTTGGGGGCGTGGGTTGGTGATTTTTTTTTCTTCAGCCGGAATGGATTAATTGCATTTCAATGGGAAATGGTGCTTCGACTTACAACCATTTCAACTTATGACCATCTTCCGGAATGGATTAATTTCGTAAGTTGAGACACCACTGTATAGCATTCCAAATTCAATATAAATAAGCCTTTGAAAGAACCCAGTAAGGTGAGGCAACATATGCAAAATTAGTTTACATTCTCTAAGCCAGTGGTTCTTAACCTTTGTTACTCGGATGTTTTTGAACTGCAACTCCCAGAAACCCCAGCCAGCACAGCTGGTGGTGAAGGCTTCTGGGAGTTGCAGTCCAAAACTCCTGAATAACCCAAGTTAAGAACCAGTGCTCTAAGCTGCTCCACCTTTGAGCTGTCCAGTGTCTGGAAAATGAATAATGTGGAAACAGTTATTTTTCCTACTCTAAAGGGAAAAGGAAACAAAGGAGGGGGAAAAGGGGGCCGTTCAATATAGTGGACGATTGTGTTTATGTAATATGAACTATCAGGAGCTTCAAGTTTGTTAATTTTATAACCAGCACTAATTTAGTGAATCCTCTGAATGGGACCAAAATTCTACTTGCTGCTTTATTCTACAGAAGAAACAACAGTGATAGCTGGAACTGCAATCCCACCTAATACCTTTTTCATCATGGTCACCAAGGGAAAGAATATTATGCTAAAAACAAAATAATAATAAAAAGAAGACAAAAATGTTGTGGCACCTAAAAGACTAACTGCTGTATTTTAATGTGGATTTTCATGGACAAATCCAGTTACTCAGAAATGGGGAAAGGGACTCAACATACTATACTAAGGGAATCCAATTTCATTACCCAGCCTAGGTGAGGACAGCTTCTGTCTTTGCATTACGGTTTCTAGTGGAAGCAGATGGATATTCTGTCTGACATGGCTGACATTCCTGTCGAAGCTCTACTTCACTCTATGGGTAGAGTATCTGATATGATTATTCACAAGTTCCCCATTCTGCTATGAATCACCTGCTTGGTATACAAGACAGCAAATGAGAATAGAGGCATAAAAATCAGCTAGAAAGTAAAACTTGAAGAAATGTGTCTTGGAACAACTGATCATACATAACACATATTACAGACTCTGTTCTGTTGTTGTGATGGCAGCAAAGTGCCATTTTCTCCTATTTTGCACCTCTTCATCTTTAGAATGTCGTCCAAGATGTCTTTGGAATGGTTATGGCATTTTACAACTTGACCCACAAGGGAAAATGAATAGAGTTTTCTGACACCTTGAGTCTACAATTTTTACTGCTTATGTTTTGTGGATTTTAGCCCAATTCATCAGATATATGGAGGAACCTTCAGAGGTATGAATTTGAATTTTCTGTTTCTCTTGCACCTATCTACAGTCTTAGATTCCATTCTCAACAGACTCTCTATACTGGAGATTTAAGACATTGTACTGCAACAGTTCTAAGCATATCCATGGGTTGATTTCCAGCAGATGGCTTTGGAAGATTCCTAATACACTCCATGGCATTTGCTATGGAGTCCGACAAGATTTAATCTTATTTCACATATGTTTTAACAAGTAAAAAAGCCACTGGAAGAGTTTGTGCAGGGCAGGATTCCACAGTGATCTATTATCGATTTGCTGATAGGAAATCACTTTTATTTATAGGTTCTCAACACCTGAATTAGATTATGAAGTATAAAAATTTTGCCCCGTTTTAAGGGACCTCACCCCCAATTAGAAATGGCCACTAGGGGTAGATGGGATTATTTTAATTGAACAATTTTGTAAGAAAAAAATGGATGTGAAGGTTATGGCAGCAGTCTTCCAAGTTCAGAGATGTATGGATGTGACCCTCCAACCTCTGGGGATCACCTACCCATCTTAGCAGGGTAGAGCATGTACTGTCTTATAAAAATATTTCAACATGCTTGCTATTGGCTGACTGAAATATATCCTAGTAGGTCACAGTGAATCAGAAAAGAAAGCAACTCAGGCTAGGGAAGAAGAAACATGGTCCTGGGCTATGGTTGTTTCCAAAGTATTTCCATCAGTACTGGTGAGCTGGATGTGATACTGCTGGTCTTCTTAATCCTTGGCTAACTACTCAACTGCAACATAATTTGTGGGGAACACTCCCAACTTGACTGAACACTGTAGAATGGACCAGTTTTGACCAACTTGCTCACGTAGCAGCCTAAGGAAGAAAGATGGGATGCTGCTGTAATGTGTAGATATTTCACTCTTTGCTCACAATCTTCTGTGAAACATGAACAACTGTGACTGAGTGTAATTTTTCCTGGATCCAAAAAAGATTAGGATCTTGGTAGTGCCTTGATACGTAGTAAAATGTATAGGTGTATGAGAAGTGGTATTAAAATTGATACAGAATCTCTCCTATATAGATAGTTCTGAAACACCTCAGCACTGATATGCACAACGTTTAGGTTTTTAGCTCAGTATTTCCAGTTGCCATGCCAACCATGGAACTTTTCCAATATTCTCATGATAAACAGTAGAAATATGGCTAGCTTTGATGTAATTGTTTAGCGCTGGGTCTAGAATAAGATGATTTGTTGTGGTTATAGAGATGATATTGTCATCATGGACAAATTTAGTACAAGTTAAGAATTCAATAGCACAAGGCAGATTTTCCATCCTTGAAACAACAATGAGAGCTTGCAGGCAAATGATGCAGTAACACATCTCTTGAATCCAACTGAACTGACATATGACATAATGATGGAAATCCATGTGCTCTTTTGTGCCCTCAACTGTGTTCACGCCACTCAGCAGACCTCTTCCAGGTAAAGCAGGCTGTGTATACTATGCCACAGGCTTACTGTTAAAATCTTTCTTAGCTATCTATCAAACTCGCCTTCACTACCTTTGAAGAGAAGGAGAATGATGACCCAAGAAAGGACAACACAACAGAAAAGGCCCTGGTTTTAAGAATTTTCTTTCAAAACCACTTGTAGCCTTTTCAAAGCAAGAACAATGGTGTTTTCATTTCTCTTCAATTTGGCCTGGCACAGACTTTCTTTAGGTTCCCCGGTTTCTCAAATTTTACCTTTTATTTCTTTACTGTACTTTAAATCATTGTTAATAATTCAAGGAGTCTTCTGACTAAGGATGGATTTTTAATGAATAAAATTATCTGTATGACATACAACTTTTTGCAGACAAAATTATTTGTGACAAGGTTAATACTTTGAATTAAGCCCTATTCAGTTATTAATTTAAGTATACAGAGCCTCCAATTGACTACAGAAGTCAAAGTCCATGCCTTCTTTCATAATTTTCCTCACCCACAGTAGCTCCACCTGTGGAGACTCTCTGCATGAAAGAGAGGTTTACTTACCTGTAACTGTGGTTCTTCGAGTGGTCCACTGTGAATTCACACTAATGGGGTTAAGTCTGCGCTCGCGCAGAGATCTCTGGAATATTCTAGAGCAGTCTCCCTGTTACTTCCTTGGTTGCAGCAGGGCACTTCTAAATCCTCCATTCTTTCAGAGAGATCGGAGATAAGCCTGCTTGATTGGTTACAGCTGTGGATTAGCCCAGGGCAATCAATCAATCCGGGGCTTCTGAATGACTGATTCCTCTGGAAAGGACTGCAAGCAAGCAGGAGGCAGGAAAGGATCAGGTTAACAAGGGAAGGAGGGAAAGAAGGTGTGAGAGACCAAGGGCTTCATCAAGCTTATTTAAATGTATGTAGAAAATGTATGGAGAAAGGGAGGGTGGGTGGATGTGTGTGTGAGAGAGAGTGAGCGTGAGTGAGAGATACTGACTCAAAACTATGAAAAAGAAGAGGCAAGCAAAAGAGAAAACTTGAATTAAGACAGAAGTAGATGTTGTTCTGGAACTCTCTGGCTTTCTCCATAATCCAACGCATGTTAGCAATTCGATCTCTAGTTCTTCTGCCCCTTCGAAATCCAGTTTGGACTTCTGGGAGTTCTTGGTCCGCATACTGCTTGAGCCTACCTTGGACGATTTTGAGCATAACCTTGCTAGCGTGTGAAATGAGTGCAATTGTACAGTAGTTGGAGCATTCTTTTGCACTTCCCTTCTTTGGGATTGTGATGTAGACTGATCTTTTCCAATCCTCTGGCCACTGCTGAGTTTTCCATTGATGATGATAAAAAAGCACACTGGTATTTTGATATTGGGCTATGGCACCAGGGTGGGTGAAATGACCTTTAGCCTAGTTTATTCCTTTTTCACACCACACACAGAATGATTAAAGTGGTAGAGAAAGCCCCCCCCCAATTCTGCGTTGGCTGTCTCTAGCAAGCATGTCATTGCTAGCACCACTATGGCAGCAACAGATGATGATTAAATCCTCTGCGAGCTTGCTAGGCACGTTGGACACCTTAATACTTCCGATACCACATAATGGCTGGAGTGCAATGTGTTCCAGCAAAAATAGTGCACATCTTTATCAAATTTGGTGCATCCTGCTAGTTCAGTAAACAGCCTGTGTAGATGCAATAATATTTTTAATTCAAATATGTATGATTTCCTTCCTTTCAAATCAAGGGGGTAATGTCGGTGTATAGAAATTTGGGAGGGGGAAGGTAAAAAAGTTCCCTGACCCCTGTTCTAGAGCTTAATGCTGTTAAACAAAGTACCGCCCCCTGAGCCCACGAGGTCCACCTGCCCTCAGAGTTACCTCAGATCTGGTAACAGCCCGCTGCTGCATTAGTAGATACAGAAGTGATGGACAGAGGGGAGGATGGGTGGGAAGTGTGAATTCACAGAGGACCACTCGAAGAAACAGAGTTACGGGTAAATAACCTTTCTTTCTTCTTCTTGGCTAACAACTCGGTGTGCATTCACAGAGACTACTCGTGGTGAATGCACACTAATGAGTGACTGACAAGCTTACCTCAGAGGAGGAGAAACGTCACTGAAGGATGGATGACAGAACTGCCCTCCCAAAAGATGCATCTGCCTTCACTCTCAGGACTAATCTGTAGCGTGTAGCGAAGGCACATGGTGTAGACCATGTGGCGGCCTTGCAAATATCAGGAATCTGAATGCCACATAAAAAGGCTGCAGAGGTAGCAGTAGCTCTGGCCGAGTGTGCCCTGACGTTGATGTGTAAAGGTTTCCTGGCTAGTTGGTATGCCAACTTAATCGTTGATACTGTCCACCGTGATAAAGTCTGAGAGGAGACGTGGGATCCTCTGTGAGGTGGGTGGGGAGACATAAAAGGCCTCTTAGACCTTCGGAAGGAGGTGGTACTGGACAAGTAGAATGCCAAGGCTCTCGTAGTGTCCAATGTGTGAAGGGACCTTTCCAGGTCTAACATGGGTGACGGGAAGAAGGTGGGAACCACGATCAGTTGTGAGAGATGGAAGTTAGAAACTATCTTAGGCAAGAAGGAAACGTACAGAAATAAGGTAACTTTGTCTGGGTGAAACTGAAGAAATGGCTTGTCAATTTTTAGGGCCGTGAGTTCAGATGTTCTCCGTGCAGAAGTGATGGCCACAAGGAACAGAGTTTTGAGGGAGAGCAGGTGTTCCGAAGTAGTGGCGAGGGGCACAAAAGGAGGCCTCAAAAGGTAGTGGAGAACGAGGGACAGCGACCACTGTGGAGTAGGTGGTGGGACAGGAGGGAGCATGTGGACCACACCTTTCAAAAATTGTTTGAGCGTAAGGTGCCTGAAGATCATGGCAGAGTCACAGTCCCGAGGTGGGTATGCAATGATAGCAAAGAGGTAGAGTTTAATGGTTGATAAAGACAGTTGTTGGCCAAACAGATGTGCAAGTAACTGGAGAACAGCATATAGGGTGGTTGGCTTTGTGGGTAAACTGTGGTGTTTAGCAAAACGGAGGAAGGTAGCCCACTTGTATGAGTACAATTTAGTGGTGGATGGTTTGCGGGAATGTGCCAGGATATTTTCTATCGAGACCTGATCCGCCACATGGTGAGTTGCAATGTTTGAAGGTCCGGGTGATAGGTCCGTCCCTGATGTTGAGTGATAAAATCTGGTATCAAGGGCAGGCAGATTCGGCTGGTGCTGATGGAACATAGGGTAGTGAACTATGGCTGTCTCGGCCACCATGGGGCAATGAGAATCACGTTCGCCTGTTCGCGCATGATCTTGGATATGGTTCTGAGTAACAGAGGAATGGGCAGGAAGAGGTACAGGAGGTTGGTGAACAAGTCCATCAACAGACCGTTTCCATGAGATCCTTGGCAGATGCCCGCTTTGGAGCAGAAGAGATCGCATTTGGCGTTTTGAGGGGTGGCGAAGATGTTGATCTTGGGTTATCCCCAGAGGTTGCAAAGGTGTAGAAATGTTGGTTTGTGAAGGGACCACTCGTGAGTTTGTGTCCGCATGTGGCTGAGCTGGTCCGCTATGACATTGTTGTGTGTGGCTATGTAGACCGCCACTGGGAAGATGTACCGCTCCATGAACCACTCCCAAAACTGCACTGCAAGATATAGAAGCTGGGGGGAGCGGGTGCCACCCTGTTTGTTGACATACAACAATGCTGTCGTGTTGTCCGTCGTTATTTGGACAACGTTGCCTATGATGAGTGGTTCGAACACCCTTCACACCTTGAATATGGCCAGGAGTTTCAGGTTGTTTACGTGCAGGGAGGCTTCCGTGGCGGACCAGGTGTCGTGAATGGAGTGCGTGTTGCAGTGTGCGCCCCAGCCGGTGGTGCTCGCATCTGTGGTTATCTGGATTGATGGTTGAAGAAGAGCAAAAGGACAACCGATGAGTAGATTGGTCAGGTTGTCCCACCAACAGAGCTGAGCAGAAAGTTCGGGGGAGACCTTGAGAAGTTTCCACTGAGGATCTACCATGGGGTAGAATAGCATGTGATACCAGGAATAGAGGGAACGTAACTTCAGTCTGACATGCAATATGATTGACGTTGTCGAAGCCATGAGGCCCAGGAAGCGCTGTGTGGAGTAAGCCGTGACACGGGAATTTGGGTGGGAATGAGTGATGAGGGAGTGAAACTTTACTACCCTTTCTCATGGGAGGAATATTCTTGCCTTGACAGAGTCTAGAATGGCTCCTATGTTAGCGATGCATTGGGTTGGACGGAGAACCAATCTGTGTTCGTTCATCTGTAGGCCAACTGCTTGCTGTGGGGATGGTGATATGAGGAGCCAGTCGTCTATGTAAGGGTATACCAAAAATGCCCAGGGTGCGGAGGTGGGCTGGCAGAGGCACCATACATTTCATGAACACTCCTGGAGCTGTGGAGAGGCCGAACGGTAGCGCTGTGAATTTGTGGACTTGGTCTCCTATGGCAAAACGGAGGAATCTGTGATGATCCTGGCGAACGGCTATATGGAAATATGCATCACTTAAGTCCATGGAGGCGAACCAAACACCTTGTTGGAGGATTCGCTCTAGTGTCACCATAAGGAAATGTTTTGTGAAAATGTAATACATTTAGATCCCAAAGATCTAGAATAGGTCTTAGTCCAATGTCCTGTTTCGGGACCGTGAAGTAACTAGGGAAAAAAACATTTTTGTTGAACTGCAGGGGCAACTGAAGAGACTGCGTATTTTGACAGAAGGGATTCTACTTTTTAAAAAAGGACGGTGGATGGTTGTATTAGAACGAATCATGGAGGTGGTGTGGAAATGAACTTGATGGCGTAACCTGTGGCTATAATGGCAAGTACCCAGTTGTCAGTGGTGATAGATGTCCATGATGGTAGGTGGGCAGAAAGTTGTGTGAGGGGTACTGAAAGGGGATTGATATGTGAGTCCAAGACTCTATTTCTGCTTCTTATCCAGCCGGCGAAAGGACTGCTTGGGACGCTGATGCTGGAAAGTGGCCTTAGGTTGGTAAGATGAGGACGTTTAGGCAGAGTATCTGTTTTTGTCATACTATGTTTTAGGTTGGTAGTATCAATGAGGGCGGCACCACTGGGGGCACTGGGGTTTATAATATGGCAGGGTATTACATGAGTATGCCGTTTTCTTTAATTTCTGCAGATTCTCCAGGATGTCGTCTTTTTTATCATCAAAGAGGCCTCATCCATTGAACGGTAAGTCTTCTATTCGGAGTCTGACATCATTAGGAATTTGGGCAGACCTGAACCAGGCATACCTTCACAAGGTTATAGCCACTACAAGCTGTCGGGAAGAGGAGTCAATGATATGTTTGGCAATGATTCTTTCCTGCTGTGCTAATGCCATGGCTTCCCGATGGAAGGCCAGTCCTCATGTTTTATATTCCCCTGAGGCTGACTGGAGAGATGGTAGAGCTTTATTCCAAAGGTAGCAGTGGTATGCTCCCATTGCTGCAATGTAATTTGCAGCCTGTAGGTTAAAGGATGAAAGCGAGTATGCCCTGTGACGTGCTTGGTCCAGTTTCCTACCCTCCTTGTTGTTGGGCGTAGTGGAGGACCTGTTACGGGTCCTTGTTTGGGTGGCATCAACGATGAGAGAATTAGTGGTGGGTGTTTGAAGAGAAAAGCAGTGTCATCTCCATGCATCCTGTAGAAATTCTCCACCTTGCGGGACATCTGTGGGATAGAGGAGGGCTTTGTCCAAGTTTGCTTAGCCAGTACTAGCAGAGAAGGAATGAAGCTCATGCTGAGAGGTAAAGATTGTTGGGTGTTAATGTCCTCGTATACCTTGTCAGACTGAGACTCTGAGGGTTACTGGACATCAAGTTCCATGGCTTTAGCTATTCTGAGAATTAATTGCAAGTAAGCCAAGAAGTTGTCGATGGAGACGGTGGATGATGGGCCTTGGAGTCCGAGCCAGGCGTAGACAGGTTAGGAGGAGACTCCTGTACCATAGAGGAGTGGGAGGAATTAAACATGGAGGAGCAGAGGAAGGGTGCTGGAGAGGCAGGATAGTATGGTGGAGGTGTTGGTACAGAGGTGTTATGCCTCAATCTTGAGGAGGTTTGTTGAGCCGTTACCGACGTGGATTGTGGTACCGGAGGAGTAGGTTGTGGTACTGAAGTAGCATGCATTTGAAGTTGATCCGTGTGTTTGCTGTCCAAAGGCTGGACTTCAGCAGGTTGAGTTAGAGTTCGTCCCTGTACCGAGCGAGAACGGGAACACTGTGGTAGTACCGAGGTCCGAGATTTCTTAGATGGTACTGACGGGGTATGTGAGTCAGGTTGTCGTTTACGAGACTTGTGTTACGGTACTGGGGATGATGGTACCGAATCAGAGCCTGAGAAGGACGAACATCGGGGGTTGTCCTGGTACCAATAATGGTATCATGGAAAGAAGGACGAATCCGAAATGTCATAGTCGTCATAGTAGTGTTTATGACGGCGATGGTTCCAATAATACTCGAGCTTGGCCAGATGGTACCGATGTGCTCAGTATCGAGAGTGTCTATAAACAGGTTCAGAACACTCTGGTGAATCATAGAGTCTGACTCTCTTGGCATGTCTATGCCAAGAGGGTCTATGACAGCTCTCGAGAGACAAAGGACCCAGAAGGTGTCATGGGTCTGTCATCCTCTTCATCCCGTTCCGTATGATGTCGTTCCTTCCTCAGCCTCTTCCTGGGAGGAGAGGGTGGAGGAAGTGGTACAGAGTCATGTTCACTGGGTAAGGCAGAGTGAGCAGTAGAGACTGGGTTCGAACAGATAGATGTCTGTACCAAGGTAACTTCTGCAGTGCTGGGCGAATTTGGAAAATGAGCCAGAATGGGAGACTCGGGTTGGGCAGAGGGAACAGTGAGCGCATCCTCCAAGGAATAAATCTGGATGGTAAGTTGGTCCTCTACTGGCAAATCTGCTGGAGGTGGTAGGTGCAACTCAGAAGATTTTTTCTTCTTCTTCGGTTTACAATGGGTTGAAGCCAGAGAAGGTTTAGCTGCAGGGGCTGTTTTAGTCAAAAATTTTGCAATAGATTTATGTTTGGATATCCGAGACGCCTTAGTGCAGGTGGAACGTGAGTTTCCGCGCTAGGCAAGGGCTTCATAAGTGGAGGGGGCTGGTGAGACTGTTGTCAAAGAAAGGATTGCAGGCATTGTTCTCTAAATTTAAGTGCTTGTTTGCCAAAACTTTTGCAGATTGAGCAGGAAAAGGTCTGGTGCAATTTCCGCCAGGCAAAATAGGCAAGTTTTATGGCCGTCTGTAGCGGCGATCTTGTTGGGGCATTTGGCACGCTTTTTGAAGGGGGGGCCATAAATGGCCGGGGGGGAGGAGGGAACGGGGGCAGCGGATAAAGTCTCTTACTATAGATGAAAGGAAATAACGAAGATTAAACAAAGAGGTGTTCTTTCTCAGGAGTCGGAAATGACAGAAGAGCAGCAGCTCGAAGAGGAGACCTCCTGTGGCGGCAGCAAAAAAGAATTGAGTTAACTCTGAGGGCGGGTGGACTTCGTGGGCTCAGGGGGCGGCACTTTGTTTAGCAGCATTAAGATCTAGAATATTCCAGAGATCTCTGCACAAGCGCAGACTTAACCCATTAGTGTGCATTCACAGAGATCACGAAGAAGAACCAGAAATTGAAGAGACAAAATCTGGTATTAGTTTGTTGGCCTCAGATGTGAGGAGCTTATTATAGATGCTCAGATGCTTGTACTTTTATTTCTTGAAGACAAATGGGGAGGTACAAGTATCTTCCCTCTTGTTCTTTATTAAGTGCATGAGACCCACTTTCAGAAATAGCAGTAATTACCAATACAACTCTTTGAAAGAAGCATGTTTTATAGTCCTTTAAAAATGGTAGCAATTATTACTGATAAAGACGAAGAATACTACAGCAATGTGTACACGCTCCCAAACGAATTTTGGGGCTACAGAAAATTTAGTATGCTGATAGTTTTAGCTTCAAGACTTCTAACGTTTAATTGTAGATGTGTTTCTTTATTTTGAAATAATTTTAAATAGTACTTTTTCCTGAAATTTCAACAGGGTGAAGCATGGTATAAAAATATTTTAAGGAAATACAATAAAAGCAGCAATTCAACTTGAAGCATAATTTCAAGAAGACTGCAAACAGAGACAATTTTACTGTACAGTGGTGTCTCGCTTAACGACGATAATCCGTTCTAGGAAAATCGCCATTAAGCGAAAACATCGTAAAGCGAAATAAAAAAGCCCATTGAAACGCATTGAAACCCGTTCAATGTATTCCAATGGGGTAAAAACTCACCGTCCAGCGAGGATCCCCCATACGGCGGGCATTTTCGCTGCCTGTATAGCAAGGAATCCGTCCCTAAACACAGCAGGGAGCCATTTTAATTACCTGGTGGCCATTTTGAAACCACCGATCAGCTGTTAGAAAAACCTCATTTTGCGAAGTATCAGTTCCCGAAGCAGGGAACCGATCATCGCAAAGCAAAATTCCCCCATTTAGACCATCGTTTAGAAGATCGTCGTAAAGTGGATTTGTCGTAATGCGGGGCAATCATAAAGTGAGGCACCACTGTACTGACAGATTCGCAAAAAGGGCCAGGTTTGGCATTTCTTCCCAAATATTTCTCTACTTCAAATTGTTGGCAGATGGATTATCCAGTGTGGCCCTATATTAGAAAACACCTTTCCCAAAGCACCTAACATAATAGGTAAGGGTGGAAATAAAACAGATCTACTATCACCAAATGACTGCATTCAAATATTCCACTTAATTTCCAAAAATATGGAATTGTCTTGTTTAAAAATGAAATATCTATTGTCCATGTCATGTAGCTATGTCTTTCTTTTGAAATTTAATCTAAACAAACAGCATGTCAAAGAATCTCCAGATTATTCTTCTTCTTCAAACTCAAGAAAAATCTTTAGAATAAAACACTTGAGACGATTAATGTTTAAAACACTGACTCATTTGTCCACCTGTTAAGGAACCTGATTAAAACCTCTGCTAAAAGTAATGATATAAACATGTGCACAACTTTCTCCAATTAAAATACAACCGGCAGAGCAGATTTTATTTAAATAAACTCATTATTTAATTTTTTTTAAATCAGACTTCTTGATGATTTAAATAAAAAACCACAATTTTTAAAATTTAAATTGTGATTTAAATCAATTTCATTTTTTTAAAAAAATCACTGATTTTATGCACTGCGACTTGATTTTGACCAGCTACTAGGAAAAAAAATGATTTTTTTAAACCCGAGTTTTGAGCAGAGACAAGTTTTAGCTGGAACTGTGAAAGAACCTGTTCTGCTTAAGTGACACTAAAAGTTCTGTTACCGTTTAAGAACATAAACAGTAAACTGGTTTCTAGTGACAACAGGAAAAAAGAGAACAATGTTTCCTGTTCTCATTTGCAAGTACTGTGTGAGATGATGCACTGGTGTATGTTTTGAAAATGTCAAATGTAGAAATGCACATTTCTAGTATCAAAACTACTTGGAGAAAAATATTTTCTATTTTCAATCTCTATTTTCTTGTATTTTTCTTGTCTTTTCTTACATATTCACTTTAATGCTTTAATGCCTGCCTTTTGTTACATATACACTTTCATGCTTAAATTTACATAGAGTATATTTATGCGTTCTCAGTTGCCTACATGACAAACTAATAAAGGCAGAAAATTTGTTTAGACTGATAATTTCTGAATAATGCATATCTGCCAGTACAAGCAGGATATCAGCTATTGTGAAATTGTGTTTTTCAAGCAGATAAGACTATTTTGATTAACAGCAAGTACTGTAGAAGATTTGTTTAGAACTACTGTTAAACAGGCACCTTAGTATGATAATACCATGATGCAAGAATTGAAAAACAGGTAAGTTTCAGGTTATTGATAGAAAATAGTCATTTAATTACAGCTCATTTAAGAGAGAGAACCGAGGAGAAAAGAAGCAACATGAACAGCAAAAGGCTGGCTCATTTATTTATTTGAGTAAGAAAACTTCAGTTTAGAATAATTTTTATGTGTGTCAGTGTTAATAACTGTTTCAGGCTATGATCTACAGTGGTGCCTCGCTTAACAGGCGCCCCGTTTAACGACGAAATCGCATAGCGATTAACTTTTTGCGATCGCTTTGCGATGTTCCCTATGGGGAAAACTCGCTTTGTGATGATCGGCACCCTGTTTCGCTTACCGATCATCGCAAAGCGATGATTTTTAACAGCTGATCAGCGGTTCCAAAATGGCCACCGGGTAAAAAAATGGCCGCCCACTGTTTTCTGGGACGGATTCCTTGCTTACCGGGCAGCGAACATGGCCACCGTAGGGAGGATTTTCGCTTAAAGCTGAGTCTAAAGCCCATAGGAACGCATTGAAGGGGTTTCAATACATTCCTATGGGCTTTTTAATATCGCATAGCGACGAAATTGCTTTGCAGCGATTTTTGCTGCACCGATTATCATCACTATGCGAGGCACCACTGTATATTCTTTAGATTTTAGAATGTGGCTAAAATACCTTCTGTCTGTATTCTTTTTTAGAAATGTTTACACTTTTGAAGTGATAGTTCTCTTGTACATGAAACACAGACTAAACAAAAGCATATTAAAATAGCATCAGCTTGACTGATTCAATTTTCCAATAGAATAATAGAATAAAAATACAAAAATCTCTGAAGTGAGAACTTCATCACTATGAATCATATATAACTTCCCTTTCTGCTTAGAAGAGGGATGAAGCATTTCAGGGTGGATCAGATTTAATAATGGATTTCTACATAAAGGCTTATATTTGCTGATTCATCACTATGAACTATTTCAACACTATGAATCATATATAACTTCCCTTTCTGCTTAGAAGAGGGATGAAGCATTTCAGGGTGGATCAGATTTAATAATGGATTTCTACATAAAGGCTCATATTTGCTGGTTGCTGTAACTTTAATATTTACAATCCATAAGGGTTTAATTTTTAGAATAACTTTTCAGTTGAATTTTACAGTTATCTCAAAAAAACTGATTGTCTGATTCGCACTGTTTACATTTTACATGCATATAAGCCTTAGCCACAGGTAGAGGAACTTCCATTAAAATATTCTCAAACTGGGTCTCTTTTACGACTTATTCATTATAGGTTCTCTCTTCAAGGTAGATAACATGAGAAATCTCAGGTTACACCTACAAATATCTCAAGATTTATGGATTATTCTGCTCAAAAAATATTTCATTTTCATTTGTACTGCCTGCCCCTTTCTCCTTACACTTTGCTCTTAAGATCTTTCCTTATCCAGATCTATTCCACCCCAAACAACTTTCTATTAATATTCTTGACACTTATCACTTAACAGGTAAGGGATTAATTCAACATGCAAAAGTTTGCAGAGGAACAATAAGGCTGATGTCTAGTTCTCAATGCTCTGTTTTTGCTGTTAAGAAGAGGCATTCTATCTCTGCAGACAAAAATTCACAGCTTTCAGAACTGTAAAACCAAGCATCTGTAATTGTATCATCTAGACAGAAAAATTACGCTAAATAATCTTACAGAAAGCTCTGGGAAAGCATGGCATTGGGTTCTTAATTAATTTGTGGAATTCATTTATAATTTTTTTACAACACTGAATGAATACACAATCTCATACTACAAAATTCAAAATGCATCCTTATTTCACAGCAAAAAACTGGAATAATATATCTTAAAAATGCCTTTTACATGAGATTTCCCCCCTCAAAAAGCATTTTATCAAATAAAATCCAATTTAAATATTAAAAATGGTATGATTTGATTTTAAAAAACCCCACTGATTTTATCCACCATGAAGCATTTATACAAGTGAACTTTCATTTTAAAGTGCTCAGAGAGAACTTTCATTTTAAAGTGCTAAGAACTATCTGAGTTCCACACAAATAAAAATACTCTTCCCTGTAAAGGGAATTATCTGCCATGGGAAGAATTTATGGGCTTTCTTCTGATCTCTCAGAGTTCACGTATCAGCAGGCCATGGGGAAGAGCTGAATGGATTAAAGCATTGGGACCCTAATCCTTATCATCAAGAGTGCAGAATTTAAGAAGCACAATTAGTCACCAAGAAAACAGATTTACAGATGTGGTTGGAGCAGCTTTCAAACTCACTGCACTAGCTGAAGAAAGGTGTTGTTTCATAGGGAGTGTTATCTGTAAAGCTCTCAAAAGAAATAAGTCTCTGGAGTTTTGTCCATTTGTATTCCAATCATTATTAATTTTTTACAATATCTATGCCATCCTTGGCATTCCAGCATATGAACACTGGGTACATTTAACATTTATCTTAAACCTTTTATTAAATTCCTTGTTTCATTATTTCACTATTATTTTTTCTATTAGTAATATTTGCATATTGAAATCACTATTCTAATAAATAACTGTATCTTACAATTTTATGAACAATAGAGTCATGTGAATTCTATCACACCAATATTCCCAAGCATTATCTGAATACTGGCAGACTTTATTCTAATTCTGATTGGTCCAATCAACAGATGTACCTACATTCAAACAGAGTTCTGAAAAAGAAACTTTTTTTAAAGGAGAGGGAGATATACCTACCAGAAAGATTTGATTCGTTTGGCATTACTGCATCAGCTTCTTTCTCACAACAGATCTCTTCTTCATCAGAAAGCACCAAGAAAGCTTCTCTAGGCAAATTTTCACTGCTTTCATGTTTGGATGGAGAATTTATTGAGTGTTCTGCTTTATCTTCTATATCTATATCTGGATTTTCCCCTGGAAGCAAGATGGACTTGGAAAAATTGTTTATTTCATCTGCTGGGGCAAGCTTTTCTAAAATTGGAATAATTTCATCTGTTTCCATGGTGCCTGCATTCCCCAAGATGCTTTCACTTGGTCCATCCTCTATCCCTTTTTGAGCGCTAGTCTCTAAAACATCTGCAGAGTGGACATCATCTTTGGGGCTTTCATCTGCATCTAAGCTGCTAGATATTGTTTCCTCACCAATGTTCTCTTTTACAACAGCTTCCTCTGCACTCTGTTCCTCTTCCATAGGCAAATGAGGTGCAAGAGCTAACTCTTTACTTTCTAATGACTTTGCTATGCAGTCATCAGGATTACAGATTTTTTTACTTTCCTCTTCAGGCTGGTTTGGTGTGGATTTCTGATCCAAATTATTTTTCACACAAATATCTTTAGGGTCTAAATCATCCTGCGTATTAACTTCCTCCTGAGTCTCATTGTCTTTCTTACAATCAAGCAACTGGATTTCAGAGCCTGAAGCAATGTTAACATCCTCGTGATCATGCCCAGAAACAATGTTCTTAGGAGAAGGAGTTTCAAGTGTGGGGGTCAGATCACTAGCTTCATTATCTTTGATGTCAGAATTCTGGGCACAAGTGATTTCTTCAGACTCCATGCTTCCTTCTTCAGAGTCAACGCCTAAATCCTCTATCCCATTTACTTCTTTATCTTCAGGACAATCAGTAGTGAGTAAAGTGGAATTGAGATCTGAATCCCCATTTTCATGTTTCCCATTTAACAGTTTGACATCAGTGGTCTTCAAAAGCTCCTCCTTGACCTTATACACACTCTCAAGTTGTTGTCGGTCACTCGCTCTCATTGTTTTGCGGGCTTTAAATACTTTTTTTTGAGGTTCTTCATTGCTTTCCATCTTGAACCTGAAAAGATATTTTAATATATAAAAGAAATATGGTAATGCATCCCTATACATGTTTTTAAAACATTTTGAATTTCTTTTCAAGATAGCTTTGGCATTACAAATATCAAGTAAGCAATTGTGTGCAATGTACAATTAAGCACCTCGCTTCCACAATCGGAGGCATAAGTAATTTTCTAGTCCAGTGGTTCCCAAACCTGGATAACCCAGGTGTTTTTGGGCTGCAATTTCCAGAAGCTATCACCGCCAGCTGTATTGGCTGGTGTTTATGAGAGCTGCAGTCCAACAACACCTGGATTACCTAAGGTTCGGAGCCACTATTCTACTCAATATAAGCATAAATACGTATATTTGAGAGTATCTGCATTTCCATGTTAATAAACCCAACATAAAGTATTACACACATTTAAAGAGTCTGGAAAGAAATGTAATATGGTTAAATGAACAGAAAACTTGTTAACATTTCAGACAAATAAATCTCTACAGTTTGTGATAGCTTCCTTTAATGTACACTTTTTTTCCATTTTCGAATGACTGGTCACATCATAGGCTGGATTCTCCTGAAGACAGGGTTTGTAACAGCATCTGGTGGAGCACTCACTTTTATATCTAGCACTTATGCCATGCAATGGATATGATCTGCATAGGGATGTACACCATAAGCAAGTGAAAGAGCACTTTTGATAGTGTACCAAAGCAACAATATAGCATGTTGATCAAAGTTCCTGCTAGATTGGGCACGCACGACTACACTTCCCTCTGTGCAGCTCTCTTCCTTCTCTGCAGAGTGATCGCATTAAGCTCCAGTCGCAATGGAACCCAATGCGCAGGAGGGCAATCGTGCGCACACACAGGGGCAAAGCCATGTGCATGACAGGCAGAGCCCTGCCCCGCCGTGTGTGTGTGTGTGTGTGTGAAAATTAAAGGGTATGTTGATGTTGATATGTGATTTGAGGATGAAGGTTACATGGAGCCATAGTTGCCTCCTTCATCCAAGGAGTGTGCTGGAAAAGCAGGATAGTTCAAGAGGAGACAAAGCCAGTGGACAAAATAAGATCACATGCAATGATTATAACACTCAAAGAAACAAAAAGTCAACGCCAGAAATGGAGCTTTCTCTGTCCTGGCCCCTTCCTCCTGGAACAAGCTTCCTACAGAGGTTTCCCAAGCACCATCTCTCTCTGTTTTACGCTAAGACTGAATTACATAATGCTGCCTTCTACTAGTGTGAATATTGTCTTGAGATGTTCAAATGGGTTTTAATGTGTGTATTTCTATTTAAAGGTAGTTCTAGCTGAATCTGAAGACTTTAAAATATAAAGAAAAAAATATTTAAATATCAGTTTTTTAAATACACAAAATGCAGTATACAATGCTGGCTAACTGCACCCAAAGCTTCGGTATGGAGGATACAATTATAGGACCGGATCATGTTTTGCAGAGAATAGATTATTAAACCGCCCAGAGTAGACTTTGGTCCAGATGGGCGGGGTATAAATCTAATAAATAAATAAAGTAATTTGGTGAAAGAAAAAACTCTGCTCAGAATTATTTTTTAAACATATTTTTGGTTTATTAAAAACCTTATTTAAGTGTTTAGGAATAAGAAATGTGCCGTATCTTAAATCTTTCATTTCACTGTTCTATCAACTTTTTTTAAAAAAATCACATTCAACTGTGTCCAATAAACATTAAAGTAATTTAAAAACGTTATTTATCCATCACCCATTAATTAGTTCAAGATAGAAAACACTCTTCACTCTAATGAATTACCAGTTTTTACACTAATGAAAATGCACACACAAAGCCACCTGAGTATATGAGAAGTGTTATCTATATTATGCTGCATGAGTTAAAAGGTCACAATTTTGGGAACAGTTTTGGTAACCTACCTCAACTATATACAATACTGTACACTTTTAATTAACAGATTTTTAAAAACTAAATACTGCAAATGCTGAAGAAGAAGCAGACACAATTAGAAAAATCATGCAAAGCACTATCCCTGCTCCCACCATGGTTTCACTGTGGAGTCTCTTTTGAAAAGCCAGAGACATAAGCCATTGTGTTCTTGACTACCTTCTTCAGAAAAATGGAAAAGCATGGCAGGTTTGGACATTGCAATAAACAAACCATGGGCAGGCAAAACATGGTATGTTTATCCACTTCCCCTGAAACTAGAATTCTGATTTTTTTGAAATGTCCAAATGGGCCTTTATATATTGCAAAGAATCTAAAACTCAGTGGAATGCATACATAATTTCCCCCTGTTCCCAATGTATTTTTTTTTTACTTTCCCTAAACTATGCAAGCATACAGTAAGGACTGCCTTTAAAGTACAATTTCATTCTACTGCCACAAGAGTGCATACTGTAGCCACTTAACAGATTTCTGTTGGTAGTGAAAGAAGAAACACTGAACAGTAGGGATTTGATCACAATAGAGCAGTTTAGATAATTTAGTCATATCTGTGCAAGCCAATCAATGGCTTCTGTCTTCCAATTCTAGAAAAATGGAGAAAATGTAGAATTATTTACCTACCTAAAGATAGTTTTCTCTTTTGGTTCTAGGAAACTTGTTTATACTCCTTAGCAGTTAATCATGTCCTAAAACTTCTCAAATTAAATTTGTGGTTCTTTAAGATCAAAATCGTAAGACAATACGGCTCTTTTGTATGTCTGATTTTCAGATTACACAGTGGCAGTAACATGGAAAAAGATGACATACTCATACTGTGTCTCTGTTTTGAGACCCCACAGAATTCTGGAATTTCATTTAAAGTTGTGTTTATGCTGTTTAAATTCATTTGGTGCAAATAAACACTTCTGCCTAACTCTTCTATCGTCATGTTCTTTCTGGACAGTTGCCAAATGAAAAAATAGCATTTCTTGGAATTTAGCAGCTTTGTTTCATCATATGAAGTCTTTACCAGGGATTATTCACAACTCTGCTGATTTTTCTGAGTAAAAATAAGATTCACCAAAGCATTTAGTATCAGTTATTACATGGTGAAATGAGTACCAAAAGACACTGAATTTATACCCAGAAGGATCCTTGCTCTCCCAATCAGTTAATTTTCTTTTCTTCCCTTCCCCCATGTTTGTTCCCCTTAAGAGCAATCACTGCAGCATGGCAACTAAAGTATTAGCATAGCTGCTGTGGTTTAGCCTATAATCATCAACTTATGTGAGCAGCACTTGAGTTGCTGAAAATGTTAGCCAATCAACTAATTGTTCTTTGAGTTTTGCCCGGCAACAAGGAAGAAAGAAAATGATAAAAGCTTACCCCCTACACACAAAAAAAGCAATATAAGGTAGAATACAAAACTAGCATGCAATGGTTCTCTGGACAATAAAGGTACTCTGGAACAATATTTTCTATTACATCCACAAAAACACAAATAGCTTTTGCCCAGTACACCAATATAATATGAAAAAAAATTATGCCATCACATAGTGCTAACTGAAATCCTGCCAGTAAATCTGAGTTACGCATACTGCTATCTGCCAAGTAATTAAGAACAGTCATTGGCCGTGCCATCTTGTTCTAGATTAAAAACAAGATTGAACCCCGGGTTCAAAGAATGCAAAAATAAAAAAGTGCAGATACAAAGAAATGAATGTCTTTTTTACAGAACCCCATTAGAACATTTCCAAACAGCCTAAAAAATGCAACACTGTTATTTAATAAACTCTGCTTTTTTGCATCAAGTGTCACATGAGAGAATGTATATTATACACCGGTAGGAGTGTTCTAGTCTGGGCAGCTGGACAATTTCCATTTTAGTATTTTATTTCATCTCATTTTGTGTGAACCAGTTATGTTTTTTTCCTCAAAACAAAATTTTAAAATATATTTTAAAACTTTATTTTGGTGCTTGTAAAAAAAGGTTTTCTATTAAATAACTTTCATGACACGTTTATGTTCTCTTCAGCACTCATTTAGAATACGTCTTTAAAATAGATAAACATGCATGTTGACCATAAAAGACAAATTAACCAAAATAGAATAGCGCTTACAGTGTTTATTTCACTTCCTTAGGATTTAATTTAAAAGATCTGGAATGTTTATAAAGCTGTTGTAGACAGAATGCTATTTTTGCTCCTTTATACAATACTTAACACATAGAAAAGTCATGATTAAAGAAGAAAAATAAAAAAATCATAGCACTCGTCCACCCCCTTATTTCTTGAGATCTTGTAATTTCTGAAACATACCCAAGAGGGAGCCAGCTGTACCACATTCTTATTTAGTGGTAATCGTCCTACAGGAAAAAAACAAATCGGCAGCTTTGCTTCATTGTTATGGAGCCACTTCCCTGTACTGTACATTTTTGCCTTCACTGATTTGCTCAAGGAAGCTGAAACCCAACTACCAATCAGAAGTAAGCATTCTCAGTTCTGCCCAGCAACAAGAAAAAGATCACCACTGCTCAGTTAGATAGGTCCTTTTCTGAAACTAACTAAATTAACTGGTGAATATTTAATAGGCTTTGAGGGCATAATCCTCTAAAATGTTCTGAGAAACTGGAGATTAAGCATGTTGTTGTTTAACTGACTAACTGTAAGCATAAATCTTAGGTGGTTGTTGAAACTGATGTGTTAAATTGCACTGGAAACTGTGGAACTGGAAGTGTTGGCAGCAACAAATTTGAAAAAAGTGAACAAAGCAGGCAGGCTAATCCAAGCCCAAACTCAAATATTTACAACATCAATGGTATTTTAAAACTATCTTGTCCATGGAAACTTGCACATTTCCATTTGATAGAGTCTGCTTAGGACAGCACATGCATACACAAACAAAATGTATCATTTTAGGTCAGAACCATTTATTTATTTATTTATTTATTTCCACTTCTATACCACCCCATTAGTGTTATTACCTTCTTAGTGGTTCACAATATACAATAAAATCATACAACTGAAAACACCACATATTTTATTGTGTTGTTAATGTATTCATTATAACTTACTTATGAAAAATAAAAATAATAAAGTACAA